AGAACAGAAAAAACCAACATCGAAAACATCATAGAAGATGCATGTGACCTCTGTTTTCGATGAAGTCGAGCTTGTCATGAAGATGACCATAAGCTCTAAAACTCACATAGAGAAATACCAAACAAGAACCAAGAAAGATGATGCAAGGATGCAATGGTTTGAGCTCTCTATGAACGATACTATCAAGCTACTCATCGAGAGCCCCCCTTGATAGTACGACAACTGATCCTATAACCCGGTCTCTCAACAACCACCATGAGACCGGTAAAACATAAACCTATCAAGGGCAAACCTTTGCCTTGCACATAGTCCACTTGAGCTAGATGATGACAATCTTGACTCCCTCAAGTTGGACCACCTTTCTTGATTGCGTTGGCTCGATGAAGGCTAGTTGATTGCCCCCCATACTCCACTACGGGAGAGCCACTCTTCGTCACATATTCACAAGTCCATTGACACCACAATGGACAACAACCTTCAAGCACTTGATCTCTTCGTGATGCTCCACTTGAACTTGCACACCGCAATCTTGATGACGATCACCACTTGATGCCATCCTCTCAATGGGTTGTATGATATCTTCCTCTTGACTCAAGCCCATGGAAACATTCCTAACCCTACATAGAACTCTCACGTATACCATGGGTTAGTACACAAAGCGTAATGGACAATGCTTACCATACCATGGATCACTTGATCCCTCTCGGTACATCTTCTACGCTTTGTGTGTTGATCAACTTGAATCACTCTTTGTACTTAGTCTTGATCAACCTTGAATCTTTCTAACTCACTTCATTTGGATGATGTCTTGAAGGTAAACATGAATGATTACACAATCTTCTTCTTCTTCAAGACATGCTAGCAATAAGCTCAACACTCACATGACCAATATTTGGATAATTCCTCAATAGCACCTTGGTCAACTCATAAACTCCTTGAAACCAACACATGGACTTCAAGAAATGCCTATGAACAAATCATTCAAATATAACTCAATGCAACCATTAGTCTATAGAGAATGTCATCAATTATCAAAACCACAAATGGGGGCACCACATGTTATTTCAGTATGTCCCACTATCATCATTTAGATGTATTTTGCGCCAAGAGAAGCTTTCTTTGGTTTATGAATATGCATGTAAACCAACTTGCAGATAATGGTACCATGAGATTTTGTGAATGTTACTTGTGGTTACATGTTGTGTTCTTGATTCCCGATGCCTTTATTAAATGTTATTTTCTGAATTCAAAGGCTAGTTTCTCTCTCTGCTTAGCAACTACTCCAAAAATAATGGTCTTTTCCAGCTTTGATTGTAGACTGGACCCATATGGATGGCCTTATGAAGGGAGTGATTGGATCTGGTTTATCTGACACTTCCTTCTGTACATCATAGTTGGCAGGGATGTGGAACAGTACGATGATATATACTGCTTCTACTGGTGTTGGGACTATAGAATAATATTGAAATCTCACACCAACATCTCTGGGGTTTCAGTTGCACGGGAGACGCCATTGCCCTGGCGTTTACCCCTGGCCAACATGTCGGTCGCGTGCACTGACCACCTAACGTGACATTGAAGGAGACGTTGAAGTCTTTGAAGTTTGGCAGGGATGTGGAACAGTACAAGGTTGGGGAAACACTGAAACCACAAGTTCCGCATGTTTAGTTTCTTTGGTTGTCGAGTTGGTGGTTCCTGAATGACTGATGGAACTCAAGGTGTAGTGTTAGAGTAAATCCAGCAATGGAATGCCAAATATCCCCTGTTCAAGAATTCATTCGATTAACCAGTTAACTTGCCGATTAATCCCTACTCGTAGGGTCATTGAGTAGCCGATTAACTGATTAATCGCTCGAGTAATTGATTAAATGGCCGATTAACTTGCTGATTAACCTATTAATCCTCTACTCGTCAGCCAACCGAGCAGCTACCAGTTAACGATTTCCTCAACAATGCAAATATCATGTTGGAAAGGGAAGTGCACCCAAATGAAGTCTCAGGATCTCGCACTAGAGACGATGAGCGCGGGTTCAGATCAGATGGTGTGGAGACTAACATTGGATACACGGGAGTTTAGACAAGTTGAGAGCATAGACCAAAGAAATTGTTTTGTTTTCATGTTGAAATGGAGAGATTGATCATGTTTAAAGTGAAGCAGGGGAGGCAGGAGGAAGATGTATGGCAACTGCATGTCTGCATCCATCGCCTCCCAAAGTGGACACTCACCACACTGTAGTCTAGCGACGAGGTGTCCCTTTAAAGAAATCGACGGGCCGAAATCACTGTTTTGACCTTAAACACAAAGATTAGCACGATTTGACCTCGTCTGAAAATATTATTCTGAGTTGATTTTTTTGGTCACGCTAACATCTCTAGGGATTCAGTTGTATGGGGGACACGTCTGCCCTGACGTTTCCCCCTGGCCAATGTGTTGCTCGCGTGCGCTGACCATACGACATGACACTGAAGGATACGTCAAAGTCTCTGATGTCTTCCCTGAAGTTACCAAACATGTAAGTTCATGCCCAGGCGTAACGCCAGGGTTCATGGGTTTCCCGTGTTCAGATCAAAAATGACATGCATGCGCATCTGTAATGCCGATGAAAAAGGCCCGGGCAACTATATAGTAAGATGAGAAAAATCTCTTCTGTATGAGATGTCAGTTTTACTTGTTCCTCAAGTAAAGTTGTCATGTGTATTCAAAATCCTACTATTATACACGTGTCAATTTGTCAATGGTGTGGCTCCGGTGATTTCACCCTCGGAACTGCTCCGTCTATAAATAGCCACCCCTCCACTATTTGTTCGTGGCTGCTCCGAGTCATTGCATGACAAGTGTCATTTAGAGCAACCTATCCTCCGAAGCATTTGAGATAATCCTGAAGAATTTGTGAGTGGGGGCTGCGGGCGTCCGAGCATGACTAGGCGATGGCCGGAGAGGTACAACGACGGTGTCAGACTAGGAGGGCGTGGATGCAAAACAAGGGGGGCAGGGGCATAGTGAAAGAAAAGTGAACCGGGGGTGTCAGACTCCTACATGACGGCGGTGCAGACTTCCTCTCGAAACAGTCTTTCGCCACGCTTTGTATGTAGAGCAACAACCGAAAAAGTACATGGATTGACAACAGGTGATGAGGTAACCCTCATACAACACAGATCCTAGGATAACCAGTTCACGCAAAACGCATATGACTACGCTACCGAAAAGAGTGCACAACAAGATCTGAGTACAACGCCATGCAGCGCCCTAAAAAACTAACTCCACGGCAACGCTCTTAGGAGGAATAACGGCGATAAATGTCACCGCTGCCGAGTCCACCACGAACAAGGTTTTCCCTCGGGAACCTGGCGCGGAGAGGATCACCACAATGATGTCTTCAAGAAGATAGGGGCGCCCGAGAGTGTCGCCGTCTTCGGCGACAAAGCGCGGAGTTTTCGCTTGGCAACTCCCCCATGCCTCAGAACTCCAGATCCGGATCATGGTGTCTCCACTGCCAGTGACAGAGAGCGCCCCCGAGCCACCCGCCGCCCACACAATCAAGAGAGAAAGCCATTACTGTCACCATGGTGCCCGACGAAGAGCCAACCACGCAGACCGTAATCCGAGGCCGCCATCCCGGCATCCATGTTTGAGACACCACTCACCGCCCACATTATGGTGCACCCACCACCATAGCAAGAGTAAAAGGTGGCTCTTTTCACTCCTAGCCCGACATCAGTCGCAGAGTATGGGTCGGCAACTCCATGGTAGTAGACACCCACGCATGCGTCTCCAGCCAGTCCTGGTGGACCGGGGGGAGACACAACTCCGTGACTACTGTGGCTCCTGCAAAGGCCTCTCAGTTTGCGTCTAGTTTGCAGAAATTCGACAACTGAACTGGTCCACAAACAAATGGGGTACCGTCTTTGATGACAAATTTTAGCAGACAGCTCGATCCGAAAGAATGCGGACATTTTGAGGGGAGATGCCATTCCTCTTTCTTTGTACCTCCACAAGGATCCGGTCCGGTTCCGGCACGACGCCCATCCTCTGCGTCTGGTGCCGCGACTCGGAGCAGTCTCGCCACCGAAGCGTTTAAGATAAAATCAGCCTGAAACGCCACGCCGCCCCCTCTGCCTCTGTCTCTGTCTCTAGTACCGGTAGTTTCCCCGCCGGCAGATGCGCTCCCCTCACGGGCAGGCACATGCACCATGATGCACTACCTATACCAGCGGGAGATCCAGCGGGAGAACCGGCGGCGGAGCCTCCTGCTCCGGCAGATGGAGGAAGGCCGCGCTGAGCTGCTCAACTGGCCTGCTCTGATCCAGCGCGGACGATATGCGCACCACCTTAGGATCATCACCAGGGTACACTCCGTAAATCACCACCATCTATCTATCTATCTTTCTTTTTCTCTATCTAAAAAATACAAGTATCGAATTGAATGCTGAATTGCCTTTTTCAATTGCAGTGCGCTACGGCCGTGCTGGGCCTGGCGATTCTGGTCTACGTGTTGGTGCTCAAGTACAAGTACCACCTGCCCGAGCTGCAGGATCCCATTGACATGGGGGCGTGTGTGTTTGTAGCTCTCTGCTTCATGCCATCTCGCTACCTCTGTACTCAAGACTAATTAACCCACATCCGAACTTGGCTTCTTGCTTGCTTGCTTGCTTGCTTGGAGGATTAGGCTGGTTCATCATCTCCGTAGGACAAGTCTTGGTTCAGGCAGCAATTTGCGATTCAGAATATCAACTGTTGAGGAAAAAACAGCCATTTGTGTGTTTCAGGCATGCATGGCTCGTCCCTAGATATTATGAACCCCTGTTGTCACAACTCACAAGTAGAACGCCCAAGAAGAAAAACACACTCTCTGAACCCAGTTACTACGAATGCAAACCCTGGAATAAAAATAAAAAATCTCATACAGGCTTGGCCACGGCTTTGCTGCCGGTGTGAGCCTCTAAGTCCTGTGCAAGTGCATCTTTACAATGTTGAATCAAGTATGTTTCAAGTCAGACTGTCAGAGCTCGGAGCGTCTCAAGTAGGCAGTTACCACGACGCCGGCGACCGCAGCCGCGCCGGCAACAATCCCCAGCCCGACGGACGATGGCCAGCCTCTCCACGGCACCGAGGCATCTACAGGCAACGAGGAAATGGACACCGCCCCGGTCTCGGTCTCGGAACCGTCCTCCATGTGCAGCCTCAGAATCTGAAACAGGAAACCGAAATGTCAAAAAAGAAACAAGTTGTTGTAAACCTCAAATTAAATTACTGAAACTAATGTTGCAAGAAGAAGAAGACGACGATGAATGCATTAAAAATGCTCTAGGCTCTAGCTGTTGCGCATAGCTAGGAAGGATGCAGATCAAGTTACTGTTCTAGAAAAGAAGAGTAAAATCAAACCTTCCATCCGGCTGATCTTGCATGCTCAATTGCCGCAACGAGGTCACCATCAGTGGCAAGAAGAACTCTGTCACCTTCATCATCATCATACTGTTCGAAATAATTTCAAGTGGGATGTGAAAAGATACAGAAGTACAAGCTTTGGTTTGCCCTATTGCTCACTTGAAGGAAGGGGAACACAGTACTGCATAAGCAAAGCTCAACCTCTTACCAGAAGATTTACATTCGCCTTCTCGTTTTCCGTTCCCAATCTGTATGCAACAGCAGACACAAGCTCATCCAAACTCTCTGAAACTGCAGAAAGGGGGTCCATAATCAGAACTTCAGGCAGGCAAGCACTTTATAACACTTCATCAACAAAACCAGAGACAGGAAAGTAAGATGAGAAATGCCCCAACCGCAACTGAATCTGTGCATCCGTCCTTTTCTGTCTTCAATTTTGAAAGAGAACGCGTTGCCGACATGAGGGGGTGTTTGCTTCCCTTCAACACTGTCTGACGCTGCCGTACGAGACTCTTCACTGCACTACATAACAAAAGACTGATCAAATGATCTTAAAAAATGAAAGAGTATAAGCAAATAGAAAAATAACAAACCTATGCTCGTCATATTCCTCTGCTGGATGCAAGGCAAGAGCTGAATCCCAAAACTTCTGAACCATAGCATTTGCCATATCATTTCGTCCGGAGGCTCCCTCAACCTAACGAAAACACGATGAGATACTGCAAATTAATGAAATGTGTAGTAACCTCCCTTGGTTCTGAAAATACAATTCATTCTTACCATGGAGATGCTTGCGTGGGCTAACTGTAGAGCATCCAAACAGGCGACAATCTGTCCTCCTATTCAAAGATTTAACTTAGACATGTACATAGAAAGGTACTCCTCTTTACTGCTAGAATTCAGTAGTACTTGCTTTTGTTTGCAACAGGAATATAACGAAATTTGCCATCTTGCATTGACTGTAGAGCCTCGAGGATTGATGTGTCCAGTGTGGCACAACCATGACTTGCAGTCATAACCTTGGAAAGATAACAACATATTTAATCAACTAGTGAAAAAAATAATGAACAAAATCATGATCTGTCAAAATGTTGGTGCTTCAGTTTTTTTTTTACCATACCTTTTCTACGAGGGTTACCTCGGGGGACAGACTTTGTGCCACTACTCGCAAGACCAGATCCATGGAGCTGCAGAATACCCATATTCTTAGAATGGAAAATATACCATAAATTTATCCTACTATATGAGTGATAGTACTTGACAAATGGGAAAATTTAAAATGTACACGACTTAAAAAAGAACATACGTGAGGATCCCTTGCAATATGTTCCCTGTCATGACAACCACTGAGTTAACTCGGTATTCTCGCATCTTTTTGGCCGCCACAGTTACTAGATCTTAAGGAGATACCACTGGAACACTGCAAAGGGTAAGAAGTGGAAATATTCAGTCATAAAAATAACAGCAAAAAACCGCATCATGCATTTTCCTGGCAGTAGCAATTTGACCTGCTATTTTCAGATATGATAGTTGACAGAGAAGGCTTGAACATCTGGTCTCGAAGATTTTCTATGAATGCGTGCAGACCTGATGTAAGGACCCAAAACATGACATCAGCTAGTAGTTAGCAAAAGATATCTGAATGGAATGCATCATGGGCGGTCTTTAAAATTGGAATAAGTAGCAAACCTAATCATATGCTAAAATAAACTGAAGAAAGAAACCTGCAAATTCATTTCCCCACTGCCGTTCAACCCCTTCCATGGCAGCTGCTATAGCACTGCCTTGTTCTGCTGCCTGCTCCATTCTTGAAATTGCATCCCAGAGGAACTTGGTAATGTCCAACATGGCAGTGACTTCACCATTTTCCACCACAGGAAGATGCCTAAATTTGCCTGTACATGAAAGCCATGTGACTGAAAGGAAAATCACAGAGACAAGATACTATATATCTATAAGAATGTCAACAAAGATGTTAGCAAGAAAACGTGTCGGGAATTTCTTAAGAGAACATTTCTTGCCTTTGGCTATTAGGCAGGATGTAAAAAAGCTTACTCATCATGATCTACCCTCAGTTCGAATGGACTACATGTTTTGTCAAATCCCCTATGAATGATATGGGACATGGGAGCAATGCTGACCCATCAGGCTGTGGCTGTACAGTCATGATAAACTGAACTTGCTCTCACCCATCACTGACAACCGATCACTGGATAAAACTAACTAATAATGTTCGTACTGAAGGTAAAACTAGCAACAAATACTACTTCACTAATTTGGTACTGGAGAAAAATAAGGAGATGACCTTGGACCATCTTCTGCAGTGCCTCGGTGGCCGATGAGTTGGACATGACGAAAACCGGAGTCCGCGTCATCACCTTGGCCATGCTTGTTTCCTCTGGCCTCAGACCCTCGGCTATCACTCGACCCGATATGTCCTGCGGAGAAAAGCAAACAAATGCCACATGAAAAACTTGATCCTAATCTCTAATGTCATCATACAAAACCTGATGCTGATGCACATCCATCATTGACGATATTACTCTGTTTTTCAACGGTTCCTCCTCCTGATATAGTACATATACTGGTTCTCAGTTGGCTTACCTCGGCCGTGACGATGCCGGAGAGCACCCCTTGCGCGTCGGTGAGCAGCGCGGCGTCGGCGCGCCTGGCGGCCATCCTCCGGCACGCCTCCGACACCGCGGTGGCCTCCGGGAGAGTCAGCGCCTTGGTCAGCCGGAGCTGCTTCACCGTCCTCTCCTCCAGCGACCTGTGCGGCACACATCAATCTTCAGAATCGAA